CAGGGGAGAGTAATTCATATGATGAAGGACCTCAAATTCATCCCACTCAAGACATAGTTTTTAAAAAAGTATGCATTTAGATAAGAGAATACTGGGGATGGGTAGGAAGAGGGATGGGAAAACAGGTACTTTCAAATATTTAAAAGATTGATTTCAGTGAGTCTCTGACTTTTTTTTAAATTTTCACTAACTTCCAGGTGAAAGTTAGGATTTTCTTCAATTATTTAAAAACTTGGTTCTCAGCAGAAGTTCAAAGGCTTTACCAGAGAGGCAAAGAGGTCTATGATACCAAGAAAAGGGCGAGGTTGAGAACCCTCATTAATCCAACCCCTTCTTTTCATGGAGGAAGAAACTAAGATTCTGAGAAATATAATGTAACTTGTTCTAAGTCACACAGGTAGTGAGCGGTAAAAGCAGAATCTAAATTCAGGTCAGAGGCTCATTGACATTAGAGGTCATCTTGTCCACCCCCTTAGTTTACAAATGAGAACAAATAGTCCCAGAGAGATGTAATGTAACTTGCCCAAGGTCACACAGATGGTATTAGAGGCAAAATCTGAATCTATGTCGTCTGACTCCAGAACCACTGCCCTTTTCACTGAGCCATACTGTTTCCATCTCTGACTTGACAGTTGCATGAAAACAATAAAAGCTGTTTTATCCACTATTCCAATTAAACGTGAGAGTAAAGACAAGGAGGAGAGGAGAAGGGGGACTCTAGCCTCAGAATAGAGAAAACCCTCTAATCCGTCCTTCCCAGAATAATTTTAATAGATTTTATCGTGATGCTCTATTCAAAAATCTTTAAGGAGTCACTATTACCTACAGAGTAAAGTTAGAACTCCTTTTCCTGGCATTGAAGGTCATGGATAATCTGTTACCCCTCCCCCTCCTTTCTAGCCTTATCTCAGATTTTCCCTGTCTCTACTCTTTGCTCCAGCTGAACAAAACTAATCTGTCTTTGAATGTTTTCCTAATTCTGTGCTCTAGCTCACACTGTCCCTCCTTACCTAGAATGGTAATTCTAATGCCTCCTCTTCACCTATTGAACTTGTACTATAAAAATCATCTTCAGGGTCACCTCCTCTAGGAAGTCTTCCCCACTCCTCTGGACTCTCTCCTCACACTCACCTCCAAGTCAGTAACAATCGATTCTCCCTCAGACCTCACCTATTACATTTGTTTGCACTTCTCTAATGATTTTAACATGGATTATTTTTTTATCCCAAGATATGGAATAGTGAAAAAAAAACATCAGTTTGCAATTAGAAGGTCTGAGTTTGAGCCCCGGCTCAGACATTTACCACTTGCCTCACCTTGGGCAACTCAGTTATTTATTGAAACTTTGTTTCCCCTTTTATAAAATTGATGTAACCAGACCTGCACTGTATACTTCCGAGATTTGTTGTCAGGGAAATACTTTGGAAATTTGAATGCCATATAAATGAGGAGCTGTTGATATCTAGAACATGTATTCTCTCTGGCACCTAGCCTTCTGCTTAATAAATGCTTGTGGAATTGAAAAGAAAGGAATAGATGAGTAAGACATGGCATGTGATTTGGAGGTGGAGAAAGGCAAAGAGAGAGCTGACCTAATGAGGTAATGTGGGTGTCTGAGGCTAGCATTTAAGTGGGAGGATGGGGGAAAGAGTGCTGTCTTTGGAATGGCAGGCCTGGCTCAGTCACTAAGTGACAACTTCAGACAAAGCCTTTAACCACTCTGAGACTATCGTTCCTTATCTGGATGCTGGAAATAATGACGCATGCTTTCCTTAATACATACAGGGTTGTAGCGGAGCAAGCGCTCTGTAAACCTTGAAGTGGTTTAGAAATATGGATGAGGAAGGCAGGCAACCTGATTCTAAGCCTATGTCTTTGGGGGCAGGGGAGGGGTTAGCAAGACAGGAAGAAGCAAAAGTGAAGAACAAGGATTGTCTGTCCCTGCTGGGCCTTTCTCACATAAGGCATTCTTTCTTTGTATGACTGCTCATCTCCTCTCTCCAACCAGACTGTAAGCTTCTTGAGGGTAGGAACTACATCTTCCTTCAACACTGCCTCCTGTTGCAATCTCTCACTTCTTTCAAAGCTTATGGGCTGCTTCCTGTGGAAGACATTTACTGATCTTCCCAGTTGTTTTGACAGTTTCCATCTTGAAATTGCTTTGTATGAAATTTGCATTTACTAACTCGCCTCCATATTGTATGCTGCCAGAAGAAGGTACATTTCTTGAAAGCTGGTACTGGTTTGTTCATATTCCCAGCCACAGCGTACTATAGGTACTAAATAAATGTTTATTTAGATTAGATTGGACTGTTTATTTTCGAGTCCCTTTTAGCTCTTTCCACATTGGTTGACTAAAGCTTAATAAATATTAATCCTTGAAAGATAGAAGATTCCACTGCTAACAGTCACCTGAACTCTAGTAGCTTTGATCCCCATCCTTGGAATACACTCTCCCTCCTTCCTTATTTTCCTTCAAGGTTCAAATCAGATTCCACCCCCTCCAGGAAGATATTCCCGATTATCATTACCACCACCACTCCCAGCTGTTAGGGTTCTTTCCTTTCTCAAATTATTCTGCATTTACTTATCTGGGTTCACATTGTACTTGAGAAATAGAATGTAAGTTCCTTGAGGGCAGGAACTGTTTTTTTTTCTTCTTTCCTCCTTTTCCTCCTTCCTTTATTCCTTCATTCATCCTTTGCTTGCCCTTTGTTTCATTCTTTCCATCCCCTTCCCATACTTCTTTCCCTTTTTTCTTCCATCTTCCTTCTTCCTTTCCTTCCCCATGTGCTTCATCTTTCCTTCCCCTTCCCATACTTTTTCCTTCCTTCCTTCCTTCTACCCTCCCTCCTTCCTTCCTTCTTTCCTTCCTTCCATCCATGTGTCCCAGTTACTCTTTCTCTCTTTCTTTATGAATTGATTTCTTAAAGAGATTATCTCAAGGTCCTTCTTCATCTATACTTCTCTCTAGGGTAGGGAGGGGAAAAGGAGTGGACAGCTATATAATTTCACTTAGTGGCATGGATTTTTGGTACAGGTCAAATCCTATAGCTACCAACTCTTAGAGCCTTGCACAATTTTTATTTGTCCTAAGATTTTACTGTATATAAAACAAACACAATGCTTTTCTTCCTGCGTACAAGTCACTCGGCTGGGCATGGAACATATTTAGTATTTCTTGAAGTGAGTGACCCATCAGCTGGAGCTTGGAAATCTTTTCATTGGAGCAAGCCTTTCATTGGCTGTATTTATTTTAATGATATTTGATCCACATTAAGGAAGTAGTGTCCTTTGCTCCCAAAGCTCAAGGTGTGCCTTAAGTATTCTTTGAAAGAACAGAAGCAATGTGGTCTGGTGGAAAGAGCAATGAATTAGGAACCAGAGGGCCAGGGTTCAAATTTTGGCTCTGCCAGAAGCAGTAACTTGTGCGTCTGTTTTATCTCCCTAGGCTTCAGTTTGCTTCCACATGAAACGGTGGAGTGTGATTAGATAGTTTTTGAAGCCCAATTCAGCTCTTAATCAGTGAGCCTATGAGATATATGAGGGGCCTTACTTTCCTCATCTCTAGAATGGAGCTACTAATATTTGCACTACCTAGTTAGTGAGGAATCGAATGAGAGATGTGGGGGAAGGGTTTTGTTATTATAAAAGGCCACGGAATTTGCTGTTGTTATCGTAGTCTCTAGAATGAGTTTTCTTGGAAATCTGAAGTCTCGGTTGAGAAGTCGTAGAAATGTGTGACTCCAAATGCATAGGAAACAGTATGATGTAATGATAAGGTCATGTGTACCTAGAACTATGGACGTCAGAGACTGGCTAGGCCATCTCCTTATTTGACAGAAGTGGAAACTGAGGCATAAGGAGGTCAAAAGATCTCCATAAGGTCATTCACAGTGTAAATGACTGGATGTAAACTTTTCTGCTGCCTCCCTAAAATGGGACAGAAATTCAGGGACAATACTCTGCCACTAACTCCTGTTGTGACTGTGGGGCAATCATTTTACCTTGATAACCTCAGTTTCTTTGTCTGAAAAGTGGAAGTAATAATGCTTGAACTGCTTTAACTCACAGGTTTTGTTTTTGTTTCTATGAAAAACACTTTAAGCCCTATATAAATATGAGTTATTATTACTATTGTCTATAAATAATGTGTGATACTCCCCATCCTATTTTCCTCCCAGGGTTTTTTTGTGGGAATCCAATGAGATAATGTGCTAGGAAGCAATTTGTAAAGTGCTACCCACAGGACAAGCTGGGAAGAGTCTGAAACATTTCCTGATAAGGAGCCTGAGAACAGAAAACAGTAGGGGAAGAGAAGTCCTGAGGGGTATATAAAACAGAAGTTCCAAACCCAGATAATAAAGAAGAAAGCAGGCAGAGAGATGGGAAAATCGGTTAGAATGGAGACAAGGCTCCATTATTTCATTGATCCTCACAACAATCCTGGGAGTTAAATGCTGTTTTTATCCCCATTTTCCAGACAAGGAAACAGAGGCACACAGAGGTTAAGTGGCTGGCCCAGGGTTACACAGTTAGAAAGTGTCTGAGACTGGATTTGAGCATAGGACATTCAGAATCCAAACCCAACTATGCTGGGGGTGGCTAGGTGCTGCCATAGTGCACAGAGCACCAGGCTGGGAGTCAGAAAGAATCATCTTCATGAGTTCAAATCCTGCCTCAGACATTTCCTAGCTGTATGACCCTGGGCATCTCGCTTCACCCTGTTTGCCCTAGTTTCCTTATCTAAAAAGGAGCTGAAGAAGAAAAGAGCAAACTACTCCAGTATCTTTGCCAAGAAAACCCCAAATGGTTGGATGCAATTGTGATGACTCAGCAATAACAAAATCCACTGTGCCACCTAGCTGCTTAGATGCTAGAGATACGAAGACAAAAACTAAGACAGTTTTTACACTCATGACATTTACTAGGAAAATATAACATGGATACCAGGCGTAAGTAACTTTTCCTCTAAACTCTCTCTCCCCCCCTCTTCTTACCTCCTCTGTTACTGCAGAGGGTAACACCATCTTCCCAATCTCTCCGGCTTGTAACCTAGGAATCGTCCTGGACTCCTCACTATCCTCACAGCCTCCTATATCCAAGCTGTGGCCAAGGCCTGTTCATTTTACCTTTGCAGTGTCTCTTGAATATGTTCCTTTCTCTCCTCTGACACTGTCACCACTCTGGTGCAGACCCTCATCGCCTCACACATGAACTGTTGCAATAGCTACTGGTGGGTGGGAGGGGCAGTCTGCCTGCCTGAAGTCTCTCCTCACTCTGTTCATCCTCCATTCGGTAACTAAAGTGACTTTCCTAACATGCAGGTCTGATCATGTCACCCTCTACTCAATAACCTCCAGTGATTCCCTCTCACCTCAGGGGCTTTGAATGTCGAACAGAAAATTTCGCATTTGATCCTGACTACAATCAAGAGGAGTTGGGGAAGGCTTCTTGAAGAAGGTAGGATTGTAGCTGGGACTTTAAGGAATCAAGGTCAAACATCAGAGTGGAGGAGGGAGAGTGTTCCCAGCAAAGGAACAGTCAGAGAGAATGCCAGAAGCTGAGGGGGGAAGGGCTTGTTCCTGGAATAGCCAGGAGGCCAGTGCCATTGGGTCCAATGATACCTATTGGGGAGTAAGGTGTAAGAAGACTGGAAAGGTAGGAGGAGCCCTCTCAATGTACTTCTTTTAGTTATGTTCTGTTTATCTTGCATATTATTTGCCTTGTATGTATTTGTTTGTATATTGTCTGCTTAGCCCTAAAAAGGACTAGGGATTTTTCTCCACTTGAGATGAGGGCAGGAGGAGGGAGGGGATGATGAGGAAGATGTTTGAAATGAGGAGGAGGGGACTTCAGGCTGTTCCTATGGGATGGCCTCAGTTTCCTCAATGAAGTAGGGAGCTGAGTTATCTGCTTTGATGTTGGAGAGACTTTGTAGTCAGGACTCAAGAACAGAGTAGAGCCCTAGATCAGTAAACATGGGAATGAAATGGGAACCACCAGGAGTCTAATGTGAAGGCAAAGCAGTAGATGTGCCTCACAAATTAATAGTGAATGAAAAAACTGTCCCCAGTGATGATCAGCTGTTCTGTGCAGCTCCTGACATCTGTGACACTGGGCAAAGGTAGCCCACGGAACTGTAGAATGTCCCACTTTGGGGGCTTGGGTTGGGGGGAAACTACTGGCATTGATTTTAGATCTAGAGTTGGAAGGGGGCCTGAGGGGACACCTAGTCTAAATCTCTCATTTTACAGATGAAGAAACTAACTCTCAAAGAGTCAGGTGACTTCCTCGAGGTCACACAGATCTTGGACTGGAGGGACCTGATAGGACAACAGGTCCAGTCACCTCATTTCACAGATATCGAAACTGAGGCCCAGGGGGCATTAAGTGATTTATACAAGGTTACACAGCTAGGAAGTGGCAGAGCTTGGATTCAAAACAAGGGCATTCATGATGCCATCTGGGTTAGAGCTCTGGGGCAGTCTAAGAAGAAAGGAAAGAAAAAAGCATTTATTAAGCACTTACTATACACCAGGCAGTATGCTAAGCACTGGGGGATATAAATACAGCAGAAAGAAAAACAGCCCCTGCTCTCATAGAGCTTACATTCTAATGGGGGAAGATGACACTACATAAAGCTGGAAAGGAGTGAGGGGAGAAAGTATTCAGCTTTGACACATGCAGGCCAACCTGACCCCTCCACAAAATGGAGGCTTCAGAAGGAACTCACCGAAGAGAGAAGGGGAGTGAGCCTTGCAGATAGGATCTCCACGGTGTGCAGGCCTCGGAATGGCACCACGTTCTGGGATGAAGAGGCCCCAGGTATTGAGGGAAGTTTCAGGATGAGAGATCAATAAAGCCATGATTTTGAAGTCTAGGAGGTCAAAAAGAGGGCTGGGTGGGGAAGACCTTGCCTTCCAGGAAAAGATTTTAATTTTCTCTTCACTAGAGATTTGTTTATTTTGAAGAGAAAAGATCCCTTTCTGAGTTTTTCAGAATTTAAATAAAAACAATAAATAATTGTTTGATTCATATGCTACAAATGTGCAAGATTCCATGGAGTCCCCAACTGCAGGCAGAAGACAGTCGGCAAGCATATATTAAACATCTACTACATGCCTAGGCTGGGGCACATAGTGAATGACCCACTGTGCTAGTGCTACAAACAAAGGTAAAAACAGTCCCTGCCTTCGGGGAGTTTACATTCTAAAGGGAGAGACAACCTCCAAGATACACATAGTGGAGATGAGCAGGAACCTTAAGCAGAAGGTTCTCTTAATAGCCATGGAAGAGTCATTCTGATAAAGCAGAAAGATCTCCAGATTCGGATTTGAAGACCTGGGGTTGAAATCACAGCTCTCATTGTTAGCTATCTGGTTTTGCACCAATCAATTCTTTCTGGGCTTTGGTTTCCTTAGCTACAGAATTAGAGCATTGGACTAGATACCTTCTAAAGTTCTTTCCGGCTCTGTAGCTTAGGGACTGTGGACTGCCCCTTCTCCATCTAATAGCCATTTGCAATGTTTCTCTTGGCTATACAATAGCTGTGGAAAAGGAAGGGTAGTGATGACTGGGAAACGTCCCCAGCTTTTGGTCTCCTGAGGCACTTGGGGTGGGGCCTACTGGCAGCCACTGGTCTTCCAGCCCTTCTCTCCCACCTCCTCCCAAGGTTGAATGTCATCCAAACAGAAGCTCCACCTCCACACCTCCCAATTGGTTCTTTGAACTTGTGGGGGAAGGGAGTGCTGTTTCTGTTGCCTAGCAACAAAAGGGAAGAGGCTAGCTGTTATGGAGCATCCAGGGACCAGAAGGAGCCAGAAATGAATGAAGGTAGCAGCAGCCGAAGCGCAGTCACGCACTGCAGTAATTCAGCAGCCTCGGCTGCTGCAGCCATCACCACCTGCCCAGAAATGTGCTTAGGGAGCAGTCAATTACAGTACCACCACTCCTAGCCTGTCTCCTGTTCTCAACCTATCCCTGCTGACTGATGGGCTGAAACACCAACGGTACTAATGACAAGCTGGAAGGGAAATTTCTAGAACATAATGTTATAGTCAGGAAAAGACGAAAACAACGCAAAGGCACCTCTACCTGAGAGATTCACCCCCGCAGAGGCAGAATGCAGGCTTCAAAGCCCTGGACTCAAACTGTAAAATCCTAGATTTAGAGCCAGAAGGGAACTTTGAGGTCATCTAATGCAGAGATTCTCAACCTTTTTGTGAACCCCTTTGGCATCTTGGTAAAACTAGATTTATTTTTTTTAAATAATTGAAGGAAATGCTAAATTTCAGGTAGATGTTAGTGAAAATAAAAATGTCAGTGTTTACCTATCCAAGTTCATGGACTCCTCCCTTGAAATATACCCAGAGACTCCTCGGTGGTTTGTGGACCCCAGCATAAGAACCCCTCGTCTAGTCCAAAACTCCCATTTCATATAACATCAGGGGTTTTTTTCAATGCGTTGATCAGTTTTGCTGAAATTTTCCCCCTTGCTCTTAATTTTTTCTAATTCTTTTTTAGAAACAATGACTCTCTGGGAGGGGAGAGAAGACTAGTCTTGTGGAGGGAAATCTAGGTGATGTAAAAGCAAAAGATACCTATAAAAATCTATTTTATAAAAAAGTTGAGAAAACTGGGACCCAGAGTAATTAAATGATTTGCCCACCCCCAGGTCACACAGACAGCAAGTTGGCAGGATTTGAACCCAGGCCCTTCTGTTTCAGATCTGGCACTCTTTTACTGTACTGTGTAGTGGCCATAGGACACTAAACAAGTCACTTAATTTCTCTGAACCTGTTTCTCCATTTGTAAAAAGGGGGTGATAATTCCTGTACTATCTATATCAGGGTTACTTTGAGGCTGAAATGAAATAATGCATGTAAAATGTGTTTATAAGCTTTAAGATGCTAAATTCCAGGGGCATCTAGGTAGTGCAGTGGATAGAGCATCAGGCCTGGAGTCATGAAGAACTGAGTTCAAATCCAGCCTTAGACACTTACTAGCTGAGTGACTTCGGGCAAGTCATTTAATGCTCAAAAAACCCCCCAAAAAACTAAATTCCAGTTTGTGGTATCTGATACAATGACAGAATAGACAAATGAACTCTAAGTGCCACCTGACTTTTGATGAATTTCCCAGCCCTCACAATCTCTCCCTCCCCACCCGCAATCAAAATGGCAGCTTAGTTTCTGACATCTTGTGCAGTGTCATTGATAAAGCATCGTCACAACCTGGAGTTTCAAGCCCTCACTCTTCCTCTTCCAAGCAATGCAACCCTGGATATGTGACTTGATCCCTCTGACCTTCAGCTGCCTTATTTGAAAAATAAAGGCATTGGATTACGGGATCTTTAAAATCCCTTCCAGCTCTCCTGTTCTGTGAGTCATGCCCATGACTTTATCTCTCTCTTGAAAGAGGAAAATATCTGTTTCTCATCCACAGGGGTACTAAGAGGACAGAGAGGACAGCTCTAGGAGGGAGGCAGTGTCATGTTATGGGAAGAGCCCTGAAATGGGAAATCAGAGGTCTGTTGGTTTGTTTTCCAATTCTGCCATAAAGGGGGTCTATGACTGTAGGCAGGATTGCTTGGTCTCTATGGGACCAATATCCCACAATGCAAATGCAAATGAAGCAGTTGGGTTAGCTGACCTTTAGCATCCCTTGTAACCCTGAAGATCATAAGTACTGTGTATCAATCCAAAAAACTGTCAACAAGCGTTATTAAGCACCTACTGTGTGCCAAGCTAAGTGCTGGGCATTTCTCAATTGAGTCCAACTCTTTGTGACCCCCCTTTGGAGTTTTCTTCGAAAAGATCTTAGAGTGGTTTGCCATTTCCTTCTCCAGCTCATTTTATAGATGAGGAAACTGAGGCAAACAGGGCTGAGTGGCTTGTCCAGGGTCACACAGCTAGTAAATGTCTAAGGCTAGATTTGAACTCAGGTCTTCTTGACTCCAGGCCTATCCACTGTACCACCTAGCTGCCTTTGCTGCTGCTGCTGCTGGTCCTCCTCCTCAACATCATCATCACCATCATCATCAAAACCACTGCCACCGTAAGTAGCAGTATGATAAGTTCAGTCTTCCTGACTCTAAGGCCAGAGCTCTATGCACTGTACTACCTAGCAGCACCCAAGTGTTGGGCATATGAATACAAAACCAAAAACAGTTCCTACCCTCAAGATTCTAAGAAGGACAGGCTGCATATACATAAATAGGTATGTGTAAAGTAATAGGTATAAATAAGATTAGATGGAAGGTGAACTTTGGGGGCAAGGCTCTAACAGCTGGGAATCCAAGAAAGCTCCCTGTAGAAGGTAGTGTTTAACCTAAGTTTTAAAGGAAGCCAGAGATTCTTCCAGGCAGGGAAGACAGCTAGTAAAGACACCAGGTTGGGAGATGGGAGCGTTGTGTGTGAAAAATAACAAACAGAACAGTATGGAGGGTCCACAGAGAGTGTGCAAAGTAGCAACACATAAGAAGACTGCCAGTTAAGTTGCGTGATGGGGCCAAATTGCCCCAACCTGGTTCATTGTCTGCCTCCTGAGGTCTGAAAATCCCTTTCGTTCAGAGGACCAGGTAACTAAGACGGGGAGTCCCAACCTCCAAGCACAGTAGAGTTGAGCCAGTGCAGTGAAGCCAGACGACCTGAGGAAGCACACACATCAGGCTTCCTTTCAAAGGACCCCACAAGCTGCCCGCATTTCTCAGGTTCACCCTCACCTTCTAGCCCAGCCCAGGAGGAGAAGGAAGAAAGGTCATTTTTGGCCACATCCCTACAAGGAGCCACGGTTCTCCAGGAAGCGGTATCTTCTCTGCCCACAGCCAACATCACCATTAAGAAACTCCTGGCCCCTGGGAGGGGCTTGTTACTACTGATTCAGGGGTTCGTTCAACCAGCACATATTAATCTCCTACTGTGTGCCAGAGGCTGAGGATAGAGAGACAAAACTGAAACAGCCCCTGCCCTCCAGAAGCTTACATTCTATCAAGGGGAAACCTGTCCATAGGATCATGGAGGTAAGGTCCCTTCTAGTGCCAGAGGCCATCTCATTTAACCTCTTCATCTTAGAGATGAGGAAACTGAGGTTACATAGAGATTCATACAGGGAGTAATTATCAGAGGCAAGATTGAAACCCAGACCTTCCCTTCCCAAAGTCAGTCTTCTTTACAGGGCCTTTCACGCTGTCTATATAGATATGTACCCAAAAAAGCCAATTTCCTGGAAAATTGGGAAAGGAAACTGATCACTAAGGAAATCTGTAAATAGCTAACTTTAAGGTTTGCCAAGAACTTTATATATGTTATCTCGTTTGATTCTCACAACAACCCAGTTAAATAGGGGCTGTTATTATCCCCATTTTACAGATGGGGAAACTGAGGCCCACAGAGGTTAAGTGACTTACCCAGGATCACATGGTAGGTAAGTAAGCCTAATTTAAACTCTGCCTTTCTGCCTCTGCTTCCACTGCTCTCCCTAGCCCTCCCTAGCTATTTCAGTTGTAAAGTTATAACGGTCTTGCAATGGGGAAGGAAGCTCAGGCTTCAGAGCACAAAATGCATTGTAGGTAAGGAGGATGATAATGAAAGGGAAATGCCCCACACCACCAAACTTCTGACTTGCAAGTCTCCTTCACAGACCTGAACACATCACTCTCTTTCTCAGAAATCTTGAGTAGCTTCCAATGCTTACAGAATACAATGAAAAACTCCTTAGCCTAGCACGCAGGGCCTTCTACAGACTAATGCTAGCCGACCTTTCCAGCATCATCAATAGTCAGCCTTCATAAATCACTTTAATGCTTGAAAAGGGCTTTCTATGACCTCATCTGATGTCCTTGAGACGCACTCTATGTTCCAGTCAAACAGGATTTCTCCATTTCATATGGGCCTCTCCAGATCATCAGCCATGCCTCAGAAACTGGCTTCAGCCTCATCACCTCCTGTTCAATTCAAGCCAATTAAACAACCATTCTTCCTAGAGGAGGTCCTTTTATTTAAGGTGGAATGGAGAGAGTTTTTTATTTGTGCTGCGTGATGCTGCGAAATGCGTTTCAAATACTCGTTATTACTTTTCTATGTTATCAAGTGCTATTTCAAAAAATCACGGAAAGGCACTGACTGTAGAGAAATCTTCCTAACCAGGGGTCCAGGGGACCCTTGGGGAGGGGGTCTGGGGATAGGTTTCAGGGGATGTACGTGCACTTGGATGGGAAAAAACTTCTATCTTTATTTTCACAAATTGCCAACTGAAATTTAGCATTTTCCTCAATTATTTGAAAACATTATTCTGATAAGGGATTCATCAGCTTCACCAGCCTGCCTAAGAAGTACATATCCTTCTGTCCCTGTTTCTCTCTGTTTTTCTCTCTCTGTCTCTCTCTGTCTCTTTCTGTCACACACACACACACACACACACACACACACACACACACACACCCCTTAAGAATCAGAACAGATGAGTTCAAATTCCACATCTGACATTTAATACCTGTGTGACCTTGGTTAAGTCTCAGTTTCCCCGTTTGTGAAATGAAGGGGTCAGAGTAGATGACTTCTGAGTTCCCTTAAAGCACTATCTCTATAGTTCCATATGATCCATAGTTGGCAAAATTAGACCCGCCATCACCAAATACTAATTAAGCACCACATTAACTCCTCAGCTGCTCATGCTTCGGTCCCCCCACAAAAATCACACCGTATTTATGACATATACCTACATACGCACATGTCGTCTCTCCTAAGAGAGTGAAGTCTGTGGAGGTCAGGAATTGTTTTCATTGTCTTTACCACCTCAGCCCCGAGCATAGGCCTAATGTGCATAATAAGATTGTTAAATAATAGATGGATTGATTGACTGGTTGACTTGATTATGATGACCACTTGAATTGAATTGCCTGGGACCTGACCATTTTCAAATACAAGTGAACTATTCTGGTGCCCTGAACTCTAGGTGGACACATTCTAGAGAAATTCTACTCCCTTGTGATTCCACTTACTATTCCTATAATTTTCCAAATCAAAATGCCCCTACCTGGTCACTAATCCCCTATTTGTGTTATTTTCTACGATTAGACAACCACAGAGTAATGTAATGTGTATGCTCCTTGAAGGAAGGGACTTTCTCTTTTCTGCTTGTATCTCCAGTTCTTGGCTCCTAGTAAGCATTTATTAATGCTTCCCCCCCCCACTCCCTCTCCCCCACAATAATTGGGGAAAAAATGAGATGATATACAATCCTCTTTCTTATCCAGCTCTTTTTTTTTGTCCAGGTCCTTTGTCATGAGGAAGTATAGTCCTAAAAAGATGGTGGAGGATGATTTAAGGATTTTGTCTGGTGAAGGTGTGCTAAGGATCCACACTGTGTGTGTGTGTCCCATCGGGCAGAGAATCAAGACACAGAAATGAGCATCTTCTTCCCCATGATTTTTCTGCTGACTGATGTATGACATTCAAGCAAGCAGTCAAGTTCATGTAGGCAACTCAAGGCTAAGGTATTTTGTAGAACCATTGTTAATGCCTCTCCACTCTCCAAGAACCTCTTTATGCAGAGATGGGGCCACATTAAGCATTACCTTGAGAGTGGTTGGTAAATGAAAATTCTCCATGGTCCTCTGGAGCTCTCTGGGATATGTGTCTTCTAAAGGTGCATCTGAGGTGTTTTGGAAGTATTTTTCTGGTTACCATGACAATATCTAAGTTACCTATCCTTCCCCCAATCTCAGCAAAATACAGCTTACATGCAGGAATGCACCACACACACAATGCCTCCAAGTTTTTAGCATTGCCCTGGGTTAAGCACCAGAATTAAGCAGAAGTACATCCAGCACACAATCACAGACTGTCAGAGTGTTGATGCTTGTCGATTTTGTGACTTTCATCTCTCTGGGCCTCAGTTTCCTCACCTGTCAAATAAGGAAGTTGAACTACCTGGCCTCTGAGATTCACTCCAGCCCTACCTATGATCCTACAACCCCTCTAGAACTCAGTTCCCTCATCTGCAAAATGAGGAGGTTGGACTTATTTCTGAGGTCCCTTCTAGATCTAAATCTATAATCCCATAACCTCTCCAGTACTCAGTTTCCTCATTTGTAAAATGGAAGGGTTGGATTAGGTGGCCTCTAAGACCCCCTTCTGGCTCTAAAGCTATAAGCCTCTCAAATCTTGGAGCTTGTAGACCTCAATGACCATTTCATCTAAGCCATTAAAAAAAAAATCCAGAAGAGTGACCCCTGTAGCAAACCAAACCAATGGTAATCCAACCTTTGCTTGAGGACTTCAAATGAGGAAGATCACTTGCTACCCCCTGAAGCAGCCTGTTCCATTTTTGGACAGCTTTGGTTGTTCAAAGATTTTCCTTAGAATCCAGCCTAAATTGACCTTTTTTTCTGCTTCCACCTACTGTTTCTGATTCTCTCCTCTGGGACCAAACTGAACCAGCTAAATTCCTCTTCCATTTGAATGCTTTTTGGATCCTGGAAGATAGCCCATATCCGTGTGCCTCTCATCTGCCTACTACCACCACTAAGTCATCTCTTACTCTAGCTAAACATCCCCAGTTACTTCAATCAGTCATCATGAACTTGAAGCCCTTCTCCATCTCGGTCATCTTCAACTAGACTTTCTCCATATTATCAATATTCTTCTGAAAATATGGTGCCAAAAGCTGAATAGGGTCATAAGATTTAGTACTAGAAGCAATCTTACCCCTTCTTTTTACAGATGAGGAAACTGAGGCCAAGAATAACATTCCTTTTGTGGTGTGACTACCATCTATATCCCTATTTGTTGACGTGCCTAAGCATTTGCCTGTGCAGGTGTGCAGACAAGTAAAAGGCTGTAATATTCAAAATGGTAGAAGTAGAGCCTCCCTGGGTTCAAGCAGAATTATATCTGAGAATCCCAGAAATTGGAATAGACCAGAGAATTTTCCTAATTCCACCTGCTTCAGAATGTAAAAATCCCTACTACAAAATTGTCTGAAACACGTAGCCTGGTCTCTGCTTGAAAATTCCCAGTATTGGGGCAGCTAGGCGGCACAGTGAATGGAGCTCTGGCCTTGGAGTCAGGAGGACCTGAGTTCAAATGTAGCTTCAGACACTTAGCACTTACTAGCTGTGTGACCCTAGGCAAGTCACTTAACCCCAATCACCTCAGCAAAATAATAATAAGAAGAAGAAGAGAAAAGAAAATTCCCAGTATCTCAGTATCTTACCCTCCATCCAAATACCTGTCATCATTAGGAAGTCCCTCCTACTGATGAGCTAAAATCTGTCCCCACTGTAACTTCCACCCATGAGTTCAAGTTTTCCTTTCTGGAGTTTGAGAACAGAACTCTCACCTCTCTTTCACATCATCACCATTGTTCCTTTTCTGGTCAAATATTATTTTGAGCCTTATCATCAACCCTGGATTCCCTCTTTATTCCTTCCAGTTAGCATCCTTCTGAAGATATTAGTCTTACCTGAACCCAGTATTCCAGGTGTGATCTCATCCATACAACATCCAGGAAGGGGGAGTGGAGTGTTGGAGCAGAGAATATCTGAGACCTCCGTGGCTCTAACCAGTATATGCCTTTCAATGCAGCCTAAGATTGGAGCAGCTTTATTTGTTTGTTTGCTTTTTTGTTTATTTACTTACTTGGTCGTTTGGTCATTCATTCACCAATTTATTTCTATATTAGCTTGTTATTTTACATTTTCATGTCATAATATTATTGACACTGAGCTTACAGTTGAAGTGTTTTCTTCCTTCCCTTCATTTCTTTTTTTTTCTTTCCCAAGTGGATTGCTGTTACCCCATTTCTCTTTCAACCTGTTTTTGTCCCATTGATTTTTGAAAATGCAAATGAAAGAGTTTGAATTTATCCCTAGTAAAATTTTGTCTTGTTAGTTTCGCTCCCTCTAGCCAATCAACAGGTACTCATAGGCTTACAGGCTGGTAGAGATGATACTACCTTAGAAATCATTTGGTCCAATCCTCTTATTTTAGAGGTGGGAAAACTGAGGACCTGAGAGTTCAACAATTTGTTCAAAATCACACAGGGAATAATCTCCAATAATGAAATTTGATCAAGGTGCCAATTCCTTATTCTATTGCACTGTCTATTCTATTCCAGTAAGCTGGAACCAATTGCCATGTTGTATATAATTATAACTTCCAATAACGCTGATATAAACACATGTGACTGCTTCATGGAACTCATTCTTTGTTCTAATTGGAACCTAGCTTACAAAAAGGCAGGTGGGTATTTTACTTGAAGAAAGCACTGTCCTCTCCTTAACAGGCTCCCCAAATAACCTCACTTAAGGGCTCTCTTTCTTGGACCTACTAGGAACAAAACAAGTGTCTTCTCTTAGGGAAGGAAATTCTTCTAAAGAAAAATGGCACTGGCCAATACTTTTTCTATAATGTTCATCGCTACCCCCTCCCCAGGGTGGGAAATGACATAAGTTTGTATTTATACACACACACACACACACACACACACACACACACACACACACACACAGAGCATCGCACATGCCTTTGTGTATGAGTGTGTATATGGGTGTTGCACAGGTCTAGGCACATAGATATGTGCATGGGTGCTTACCTGTCTGGACCTGGACCTGTCTGTGTCCTCTCACAAGAAGAGCCTTCATATACCTGTGTCATATAACTAAGGGGGGGGGGCGTGGTGCTCCTACTTAATGTTGTATTGATTGTCAAGGTGGTAGGTGGTTTTTTATCAATCCCTCACCCTGCTCTAAATACAAAAACATCAGAGCTTGAAAAAGATCACGTCAAAGCTGGAAAGGCTGTAAAAAATGTGGAATGTCAGTACCAAGAGGGCCCTTAGAACTGAAACTATCAGAGCTGGGAAGGCTCTTAGAACAAAGAATATCAGAGCTGAGAGGGGTCTGAGAACACAGAACATCAGAGCCGGGAGGGGCTTTAGAACAGAGAATATCAGAGCTGGGTGGGGCCTTAAAAAAGGGAATGTCAGAGTTGGGGGAGGGGGCTTGGAACAGGGAATGTCAGAGCCAGGAAACATTAGCTTCTTCATTTTACAGGTAAAGAAGAAACTAAGGGACAGAGAAATGACTTGTCCCAAGTTACAGAGATGGTTAATGGCAGAACCAATATTTTCCAAGCCACTATTCCTTTTTTGCTATCCCATGATTATTTTTCTGGAGAGTTTCCTCTCCAGAAATCATTACTCTGGCTTTATGCAGTATCCATGGGTATTGGGATTTAGAGAGAAAGCAAAGGAAATTTACTGCAGAGACAGGGGTGGAGAGAAGTAAAAGAGGGTGGAGAGAGAGAGGGAGGGAGGGGAGGGAGGGAGGGAGGGAGAGAGAGAGAGAGAGAGAAGAGGAGGAGGAGATTAGAGAGGGAAGAGAAAAGGAAAAGGAGAGAGGGAAAGAGAGACAGAGGAGAGGGAGGGGGAGGGAATATCTTTACATCCTTTTTTCATTATCTGAGCTCTCCACAAAGAATAAATAACCCAAGACCTGAACAGCCCTCCTACTGCAGGCCTGTAGTATCTCATTACTGAAAGGCCTTGGGTGAGAGCTGAAGGTATGGCTGTCTCAGCTAGCTCACTACATAGCCTAAGAATTTCTAACCATTAAACTTCCCTGCTTCTGATGTGATTTAGGGGTTCAGGGGTGCTGGGACCCCAAAAGAATTTGACCCAAGCCTTCTTTCAGCCAAAGACAAGGTTTATCAGAACATCCATCATATTGGGCAGACTCTTAAGGAACTCTGAATATTAGTAAACCATTGGATTATTGACTAGATTATAAGAATCTAAGCAGTGGCTAAATTATAAAAATCCCAGCAGTGGTTAGATTATAAGAATCAAAGCATTTTAATGGAAACAAGATGGACCTTACATGCAGAAAGACTATGGGAGGGATCTAGGAGTGGCCAAGTAGTCTATGGGGTGGCCAAGGGAGAATAGAGCCTAGATAGGATTAAGGGTGGGAAGTGGCCTGGGGCCATAGGGAGGTATGGAATTATAGCCTCAGGAGAACGCCAGAGATTTGGCCCTGTGGGAAAGTCCAGGGTTTTTCCTTTTTGGGGTCTAGATCCCATCCTCATCACTTCTAATGGAGTTTCTTCTTCCTTGAGTTCTAGATCTAGTCTTCATTTTCCCTTCTCACTCACACAGACTGGTTTCTTGCTTCTAGCTCCCAATGTTTTTGTCCATTTTTTTTCTTCTTCCATTTTCTCTTCTCTCTGTTTAAAGCTGACTCCATCATCAAGTGTTTTGAGCTTAGTTGCTGAAAGGAATACTGGCCTCATGTTTCCCTGAGGCTTTTTTTTTTTGCCAATTGGTGTTAAGTGACTTGCCCAGGGTCACACAGTTAGTAAGTGTCTGAGGGCCAGATTTGAATTCAGATCCTCCTGACTCCAGGCCCAGTGCTCTATCCACCTTGCCACCTAGCTGCCCCTCCCTGAGGCTTTTTACAAGCTTTTGTTTATAGCAATGGCATCTCTCTTTCAGTAACTGCCTAGGTGGTTGTGGCCAAACCCTATCAATTTCTGAGCTGCAGATCTTCCTGGCCCTGCTCTCCATGGCTGACCCTTATCTGGGACTAGAAAAGAACCCAGGAGACAGTTTCTACTATCTCTTTCTCTTAATATGGTAGAGCTGGGGGGAGAATCATTCAGTCCAACTGACTCATTTTACAGATGATGCCATCTGTAAAAAAAGAAAAATGGATGGCCCAAATCCATCCACTGAGGCTTAGTGGCAGATGGGGAATGAGTGCAACTAAGGTCATCAAGTCCTCAAAATGGTTGATTAGAGTAGCCCCTCTCCTGATTGATACTGGTTGCCTATCAGTCTACAAGTACTTATTCACTGTTAAATATGTGCCAGGCACTGTGCTGAGGATACAAACAAAATCAGAGAATTGTGGAACTAGTGGGAAACTTAGAGACCCTCCAACCCAGAGGAGCTCACCCTGGTTTATGTCCTAGAGCCCTTTGAATCTATGAAATGACCACATCTCAGAATAATATAGCTATTATTATAATTTAAACTATTGACACTTAAAAATTGCACTAAGACTTTTGGTACACCTTGTAGTTTTATGGGCATAACATAACATGCAGAGGATGATAAAGGAAGCCAATTATATTGAAATACAGATATCAAAAACAAATTTTCTGAAGTTCACAGATACAAAGTTTAAAATCCTTATTCTGGTCTCATAAATTGCTAGAATTTATTAGGGCTTTTTGGACCAGACTAGTGATTTCTCTGGTATACAGACCTTTTTAATGCAGAACAGGGCTGCGTAGGCAGTGGTGTGAGACTGAGTCACTCACCAATTCACAACCATTTATTAAGCACTTGCTATGTTCCAGGCTCTGTGCTAAATGCTAGAAATACAAATGCAAGGGGAAAAGACAGTACCTGTCCTCAAGGAACTTCCATTCTAATGAGTAAGACAATACATAAAAGGGGAACTGAAATGGGAGGTAGGAGAAGAAGATGATGGAGAAGTCAGGAGTGCAGCATGGTGGAAAATGAAGAGATGGCTTTCCTGGGCTCTCTTCTTAAATGGAGAGTCTAGAAGGAGCTGTCCAATCAGAGAGGGCGCCCAGGAGCAGAGGGTACTTGTGAGATATGAGTTTCAGGGCTAAAGTGATCCCACAATGCATATACTGATGAAGGCACTCTGCAGGTAGGTCATTCAACTGTATATCATAGCCTGGACCATGGATAGACATTTTTGAATTGCTTGACTTTTCCTACTTGACTGCTTAGTCCAAACTCTTGAGAATGATCTTGTACTGAGATAATTTAGGATGCTCTGTAGTGTTACAGGGTTCAAAACAGGAGCATCAGGAGGGCCTTACCATCTCTAGGGAAGACCTTCTCACATTGAACTCTGTGCTGGATCTCCTCTGTGACAGTAGTGAATGATTTGGAACATGTGTCTGCCTATTTTATGCCTCACTTGAGATTAATGATCAGAGAGTTGTCAGATAAGGTTATCTCCATTGCTGTATATTTCAAGGAATCTTGTATGATTTTGACATGTGCATGAGAGGCAGTGTGACCTAACAGAGAGAAGCGAGGAAGACTTGGGGTCCCATCATTGACATACAGTGACTGTGTGACCATAGGCAACTCACTTAAACTCTCACTGCTATTAGCAATTCTCTAAATCCATTGGCTGCAAAGAAGTTGTCAGGCTGAGTTTCATCATCTAAGTATTCCCTATACCAATGAAATCACAAGTCCAGTCCCTATTCCTATGCATCGGAAACATGTTGTTGGATGAGAGTCATATTCTACTATGTAACTGCAATGCTCAAGTTTGTCCCTGAAAAAGAAATGGGATGTCCTGACCTCCCTTATTTACAGAGGTGGGGGACTGCAGGTATAGAACAGTGCATATTTTATCAGATTTGAATGATGCATCAATTAGCTTTGCTGAAATAACTTTTCCCCCTCCTCTTTCTCTTTTTCCTCTTTATGAGGAATGTCTCTCTGGGTAGTAGAGTGATATATTAAGAAACTGATATACAGATAAAAGATAGCAATAAAATTATTTTTAGATGAGGCTTTATTTTATAAAATTCATTGTTTGCAAGGAGGATTAATCCTGTATTCTCTATACTATTTATGCAAGCCTGCCTGGTCCTTCCTAATTTCTCATCGAGGATGCCCTAGACACCCGTCTAGATTATTCTCATAGAAATTTCATATAAATAGGAAAGCAGACATGAGAGGAGGGAGTTAGTGATGTTGCCTCAGCCACCTTTTATTTGTAACAATAAGGGTAATGTTTTTGTAATAAGAAAAATCTGAGATTTCTTCCATTCCTTGACTATCTTCCCCTCCTCCAGATAGCTTCAAAAGCAACACCTTGGTGCCCTCAAAATAATGTCCCTGCTATGTATATGTGGTTTAGTTGAGCTGTTTTTGTCCTTCTTATTTTCTTCAGCACTGTTTCCCCTGCCTTTAGAAGTACTGTTATGTTAGAATCCAAATATGGTCATTCTGCTGTCCTACATGGGGATAAAAACCTTTTTAAAAAAAAGTATTTTGTTTTTAATGTTTGTTAAAGACATGGGAAGGCAGTGACAACTCACCCAGTTAAAACTCCTCATTCTCCTCCAATGCCTTTCTCTCCCTACTCCCTTCCCCTTTTCTTTTTCCTTCTAATATGATGACATCTTGCTTCTGAATCTACCAGAAGCATCACTTTCCACCCAACTCTTTGATTTAATTACTGCTTGTCGTCTTCCTGACACCAGTGTAATAATGCTGACCCAACTACTAGGGTTTGCATAGGTCCTGGTATGGCTCAGCACTATTCCATGGAGCCAGATAATCTTGGGGCTAGTCTTTTCCCCTCTCTGGGCCTCAGTTACTCACAAATGCAAAAATAGGAGGTTGGACAAGTATAGAAGTTCCTACTCTTTTTTTGTTTCATTGACTCCTTGGGAAGTCTCATGAAACCTATGAAGCCTTTCCCAGAAAAATTATTTTAAATGCACAAAATAAAATACATAGGATTACAAAGGAAACTAATCCTGTTGAATAGTTATCAAAATAATTTTTAAAATAAGTTCACATTGGAGCAGCTGGGTGGTGCAGTGGATAAAGCAAGGAAGACTTGAGTTCAAATTCAGCCTCAGACACTTACTAGTTATGTGACATGGACAAGTCACTTAACCCTGATTGCCTCAAAAAAAAAAAAGAAGAAGAAGTTCACAGGCCCCCAGGTTAAGAACTCTTGGAATGAAGAATTGTTAACTTCTCTTCCAAGTTTCTGATTATAGGCTGAGTTGGAACCCAAACACAATTAGGTGTTTCTCTAGAAGAGGATGATTGAGGAAAAGGCCTGGGGAATGAGTGACTTGAGTTTAAACTGGACTGGTCATCACTGCATCCCCCAATCTTTAATAAACAGCAATAACAGAATATCTTCTTTAAGATTTGACTTTTTAGAAAGTAATGTTTTAAGCATCTATTGTGTCCAGAAAGCACTATGAATTTAGATAAGATTTGTTTCCTGTCATCCTGTAGCTTGCAGTCTAGTCAAGATATAAGATATCAACTGAGATATCTATAATGCAAAATTTTTTATAAATACAATGGAGAGAAAGAAAGGTAATGCTGTGTGTGAGATCCCAGAGGAAAAGGGGTTAAGATAAGGCAAGAACTCAACCTCTAGAGTGTGTAGCTTAATTTTTGTATTTTTCCAAAGAGATTATGAGAGAAGATGAGGCCAGCCATGCCTTGTGATCACACCTACAAAGTCTGCTTAGAGTAATATCATGGTCCAGTGATCCAAAGAGTGTATCTTCAGGATGGATGGAAAGGTCTATGGGTCCTTAGGTGTATTAGCAGGTCAGATGGCAATGCCTGGGATCTGGAAGGTGAAATAGCAGGACCAATGTTCTAAGGCCCTTTTACACTCCTGACATGCATCCTCAAACCTTCCCCTCTGTCATAAAGCTGATCCATAGTTCATAGATTTAGAACTGAAAAGGCCATCTAGTCTAACTCCCTCCTTTTACAGAAGATAGGAAAATGACTTTCACAAGGTCATATGGGTGGCAAGCAAGGTTTGAACTTGGGTCTGGCTGTTCCTTGGCACTCTTCCCCACTGAATCAGTCAAAGTGGCAGCAGCCACCACAACAGATGCAAAGGGATTCCTGCCCTCAGGGAGCTTACAGTCTTGCTGGGAAGGCAAGCTTTGCTTGAATAAGACAATAACAATAGAATAACTGCAGACAACAGCCCCTGAGAGTAAAGGCTTTGGGGCTTCCAAGACAGGAGAAATCAATGTCTGTAAGAGGGGATTATCAAGGAAGACTTCCCAGAGGAGATGGGAATTGGGCTGACTCTTCAAAGAGTGATTAAGACCTGGACAGCTGGAGGGGAAGGGAATCTCAAATCAGGGAAATCTGACCCTTCCATCTCCTTTCATAACAGCTTGTAGGGATCTGCTTTCTGGAGGTCCCTTTAATCTTCAACATCATGTGGCTCTAACACCCTCTCCACCAGCCCATGGTCTATATTCCAAGGTCCCTTCCAATTCTGCCATCCCATGTTCTAAATGTTCCTTCAAGTTTCAACATCCAGTGTTCTAAAGGCCTTTCATGCTTCTGCCTTTTTGCCCCTTCCTGCCCTAACATTCAACTCAGGCACTGTGTTCTATGTTCTAAGCTTCCTTCCAGTTCTGACATTCTGTTGTCTTATATTCTAAGACTGCCTCCAGTTTAGCATCGGGTATGATAAAGGATTTTCCACCTCTTACATTGGATGTCTCAGAGCTCCCTTCCTGTTCTTTCACTCCATGTTCCAAGCCCCCTTTGTCAGTTCAAACATTTCCTGTTCTGTGATCTAAGGTTCCTCCCAGTTCTGTTGTTCTGTGTTTTAAAAGGGCTTGTAGCTCAGGCTTTCTGGGTTCTAAGGTTCATCCCAATTCTGATATTCTGGTTCTGGGTTCTAAGGTTCCTTCCATTTGATGCTCTCTACTCTAAGACCCCTCCCAGCTCTGCCATTCTGTGTCCTAAGGTTTTTCACTAGCTATGAGATTCCCTTTTCTGTGGTCCCTCCCAGCTGTGACATTGTTTGTTCCAAGGTGCCTCTCCCCTCTGCATCCCAAGATTCTCTGACCCCTTGTCACACTGTGACTCCTTCAAGCACCCCAGAATTCTTCCCCAGGGTAGGGGCTCATTTGGGGAGCACAGCTAGCCAGCAGTGGCCTGCTGCCAGGATGCCACCAGCCAGTTGTTTCCTAAATCCTGCCTCTTGCTCTCCACTGGTACTGTAATTCTGGGGCGGGGCTTCGCTGACTTTTCTGCGGAGCTGGAGCCAATGACGTGCCGTGGAGAGGAGAGAATGGGATGACGAGCGGAGGCCGGCTGCTGGGGCTGGGAGCTCGCAGTCTGTGCGCAGAGCCTTGGAGACGGAGCCAGAGGAAGGAAGGCAAGGGCGCCTGGTGCTCAGGAAGCTGCAGCCCCAGCCCGCCGCAGGCACCATTGGGCGGCGGGTGTCCGGGTAAGAGCGCCGTGGCTGGACACCGCAGCTGGGAGTGGGCCGGGTGGGAGCCGCAGGCGGCCAGGCGGGGCTGGTGCAGGGCTAGGCAGCTGCTGCGGCTACAGTTGCGTCTGTCGCAGTCGCAAAAAAAGCGGGCCGCCTGCAGTCTGGGCACAGGCCAGGGCCGCTGTCAGGCGCTTGGACGCATGGAGCCTCAATCCGTCCCCGCCAGGTGCTCCTGGCAGCAGATTTGTCTGCACCTGCCCTAGAGGATGCTGGAGGGGGAGGAGGGGAATAGAGCAGAGGAGGCCACGGGCGCAGGATTAGGGATCTGCCACCGATTGCTTAACCCCCTCCCCCCACGCAGCATTTCCCCCCCCCCCGGCCTTTAATAACCTGTTGCTCGAGGCTGAAGGGCTGACGTTTCCTCTGCCATCTCTAATCTGAGTCACTGGGGAGGGGCGGCGGGGGTGGGGGTGTCTCAATAGGGCTCCCAGAAGGGAGTGGGGAGGAGGCGAATAGCCTCCGACATCACAAATCCCTGCAGCCTTTAGGGAAAAAACGAGCCTGGCAGCTGATGCTTGCGAACCCATGCTCGGCCTACATCTGCCCGCAGCAGAGGAGAGCTAGAACGAGTAGCTAAAGATTATTGGAGCCATCCCCCTACCTCCTCCTTCCACCCCCCACCCCGCCCCCGCCCCTTTCAGGCCTTGCCCTAGCTGAGCGATGGCAGCCCGGGCGAGCAGGAGCCTATAACCAGGCGGCCCCTGCTGTTAACAGCATCGAGCAAATACTCCACGGTATTTGCTGCTATGTCGCATCGTGCGTTCTCAGTCTCGCCAGCCAGGAGGGCCCTGGGCAAAATTTGGAAGGTGCAAAACCCTCTGTCCCTAGAGGCAGAGAACCTGGGCTGGGATCCTGCCTCTGCCCTTGACCACCTGTGAGACATTAAGTAAGATTCCTCATCTGTAAAATGAGAGGATTGGACAAGATGGCCTGAAGTCCTTCAGGTCGACGTCTCTGCACCTGTGTGACCTTGAGCAGGTGACTCCACTACTCTGGGCCTCCCTTTCCTAATCTGTAAAAGGGAGGAACTAGATGGCCCTCCCAGGTCTATGATTCAGCAAGGCATCCTCTCGCCATCTCACTTTCCTCATCCATTGAAATGAGGACTTCTCACTAGACAGCCTCTGAGGAACACATTCTGTTGCTCCCAAGTCCTCAAGGTCTTCATCCCCCACACCACCCCCAGGCTCTGGCTTTCGAGTTTCAGGCAGCACACTGCATCAAATCCCAGTGTCCCTGAAGTCACACTTGGTAAGCATAGCCTTGCACAGCCCAGCCCAGCCTTGCCTGGCAAGCAGATGGCAAGGAGAAGCAACTGGATAACCTTGGGCAAGTTATTTTATCTTAAGCTTCCCTGACCTGAAAAAAAAAAAAAGGATAAGGCTAGGCTAGTTGGCCTCTATGGTCCCTCCTAGCTCTCAGGCTATGACTCGGCAGTAATGGAAAGAGCTCTGAGCTTGGGGACAGTCTTGGGTTTCAATCCTGGTCTCCATTCAGCTATGCAACCCTGACCAAGCCTTCTCACCAATATGTGGCTTCCATTTGGAAAATGGAGATCTCAGTATCCGCACTATTTCTTCACAGGTTTGTTACAGGGATCCCTTTCCTCTCCCTAAATTCCAATTTTACAACTTACACATGTACACACATACACACACACACACACACACACACACACCACACACACACACACTTCATCCTAGACCTTGGATTTTTTTTTAAATTTTATGAAGATGTCCTGATCTAATCATCTCCCTCCAGTGGACTGAGATTATTCAACTGTAACCTTGTCTTTTTTTAGAAAATGCTTGTACGCCCTGGAGAAGGGCCAAACATAGTGGCAGTCACTTATGGGGCATTACCAGTGGGCATCCTTGCCTCACCTCCAAAAGATCAGAAGGTGGGGTAGGGACTTCGTGATTTCATGAATGAATTTCAAAGTTACCTTGAAACTGGAATCCAGAAACTGCTTCAGTAAGGAAAAAGCTAGAACCTTTGTTTTCTAAAGTGGGAGGAGGGATGCTGGGCTGGGATTTGTTCCAATACAAAGACGTAATGGAGGTTCTCGAAGGTTCAGGGTATGAAGGATAGAGCAGAATGGTAAGGAAGGATGCTGCTGTCACCGTATCAGAATGGAGAAGTGTTAACAATAACACCCAAGCCTAGGTACCATGGCACAATAGGAATTTTGCTGGATTTCAAGTTGTAATCTGACTCTTAGATACTTAGTACCTGTGTGACCTTCAGCAAGTCACATAACTACTCTGTGCCTCAGTTTTCCCATCTGTAAAATAAAGGGATTGAACTCAATGGTCCCTAAAGTCCCTTCTAGTTCTGAATCTTATGATTTTATGGTTATTTGCATGACCTCAGGGAAGCCACTTCTTTCTGAACATCTGTTTTCTCATCTATAGAATGAGGAGCTTGGGTGCCATAATCTCTAAGGTCTTGCTAGTTCTAAATCCTGTGATTTTCTAAACCTCAGTCCAAGGATCACGTACTTCATTCTTCAAACAGATGCCAACATAGAAGGAAGTGGCCTTCGAAATGAACTGGTGATGTTCAAAGGGAAGCCATTTGAACCTGAATTGGCTGGGGGTGGGGGAAGAGAAGGTGCAGAGAAAGGGGAGGGCTAGAAGAGACTCATCATCTCTTTGCAAAAGGGACTCATACTGCAGCTACAGCAGAGCTAGTGAAACCTTGCAAAGGCCTAGCTGGGTACCCACTAGAGGGAGAGCCCAGAAAATCCTACAGATAGAGTGAGATTTAGACTCTGCACTTTGACAAGCTTTTTGATCAGGAGGCTCTGAGGCATTCACATTTCTCCTCCCCGCCCCCCTTGTAAGAGGGGGGCTCTGTTCTCTTCAGTCTTTTTGTAAATCAGGTTAACCCTAGAATTTTCCCCATAGAACTTTATACCTGGCAGCATCTCTATAAACAATAATCCCCTGGTGCTCCCCAAGAATTGGTGGCATCCTTTGATTCATGCCTATTTAAGAGAATTGGGTTTTATGTTAGCCTGGGATACCTATACCTCCAGGGCTGAAATCTATAGTTCACAGGATAATTAAGATTTTAGACCTGGGAGGGAGTTTAGAGATTATCTAGTTTAAGTATCTGATTTTAAAATGAGGAGTCTGAGCCTCAGAGAGTTTAAGTGATTTGCCCCACACTGCACAGAGCTGGGATTCAAACCCAATATTTCAGCTCCCAGGTCAATGTTTTTTTTGCCTTTTTACCACTCTTATGTGAATAGTCATGTGAAAAGAAGATGGGAGGGGTAGGGGAGGAAAAGCCATTCTGTTTGGTGTAGAGGTCAAGATACGAATGTAAGAACTCACAAGATGGTCCTGGATGCCCTTCATCTCCAAACCATAGCCTAGAATAGGGGGCAAAAGCCCTGGAATGGAAATTAGAGGACCTGAGTTCAAATCTCCACTCTGACACTTACTACGGACCTTGGCAAGGTATTTCCCCTCTCTGAGCCTCAGTTTCCTCATCCTTAAATTGAAGGCATTGGACTAGCCTCTGTGGTCCCTTCCAGCTGTAAATCTATGCTCCTATGAAGTCATTCAACTCTCTTATGCCTCACTTTCCTTATCTTTCAAATAAGAGAGTTGTGCCAGATAACCTCTAAGGTTATCTCAAAATAGATAATCCAGCTCAAAATCTATGACCCAGTTTGCTGTCAAATAAATATAAGGTATGTGGAAATTCAGGTACAGTTTCATTTATTGGTAGGCACTAATGCTTTTAGTAAACACATAATCTCTGGGCTCTAAAAAAACCAAGATGGCAGCCGTTCTCGTATAGTTTATCTTCTCTCTTAGGGGTCTCCATTTTAGGGTTTCCTCTTACTGTTTTTTCCTTTCCTCTTACTCTGACAGGGCAAATTGTGAGTATATTAAGGTACAGCTATATCTATGGCACATAAAACATTTTGTATAAAATAAAACACTTTAAAAACATATAAAACACTTAGGTATACAAGCGAGTCTGAGCTCAATACCTTTATAAATTCAGAATCTGCATTGTGTCAAGGATCTTTAAAGGGGGAATGTGAAGTGTTAATGCATTGTTTAAACATCCATCTATTCTAATCCCCTCATTTTTCAAATGGTAAATAAGCCTCAGCCAGGTTATAATTGAAACAACAATCATATGGCAAGCCTTTATTATATGTCAGGGACTATTTTAAGCTCTGGCAATTAAAAAAAAATCAAAAACAGTCCTTGCCCTCATGGAGCTTACAGTCTAGCAGAGGAGACAATATGTGCAGAAATAGGCACATACCAGATACATGCAGATTAGATGGAGAATGATTTCAGGGGAGAAGCTATGGCAGCTGAGGCACTGGGAAAGGTGTCTTTCAGGAGCTCATTCTTGAAGGGAGCCAAGGATTCTGAAAGGTGGAAATGGGGAGGGAGGGCATGTCAGACATGGGCACAGCCAGTGCAAAGGCTTGACCAATGAAATATAGGGAGTTATTAGCAATATGGGATTTGAACTCACACCTTCTAATTCCCAAACTAATGCTTTCCACATTGCAATCCTCTTACTAGCTCGCTTTACTCTGATTTACCCTGTTATACTAAGTCCTTGTTTATCCCTTAGCAATGAAACTGACCATTATGAATGGTATCTCAGTGGGATGGATGGATGGATGGATGGATGAATAGAAGGATGAAGTTTCCTCTCTTCCAATGCTCATAGCTGCTCCAGGTATGGGTTGGCCTAGATATTCTTTGAAATCTCTTCATACTCTGAGGTTGTCTGACTCTCTGTGGACCTACAGGAATGAAAAACTGAGGCTGTAGCTTCAGTTAGAGAAGGGTACTACAGAAGGGCATATAAAATATGTCGAGTTTTCAGGCTTGTCTGGAATGTGGCAGGGAAGAATTTTGTTCAAGTATGACCTCAGATGAGGGCAGAAATAGCATTCCCTCCCATCTCAC